GGAGAAGGTTGGCGATGTGTGGGCACGGAGAAGGTTGGCGATGTGTGGGCACGGAGAAGGTTGGTGTGTGTGTGTGTGTGTGTGTGTCTGTGTCGTGTAGCGCCGATGTAGTGTGAAATGGAGTCAAGCCAAGACGCACAGTCACTGTCAGCGTAGCATTCCATACACCACTAACAAACGGCGCTCTGTAGAGACACGTATCAAATAGCTACTGATGGTTATGAACGACACAGAAGCTATGTTCGATAGTGTTAGCTAATGTTCCGGCCACGGCGGAGCGTCTGCCAGAGGTTTAAATAATGAGAAGATCTAATCATCGGGATGCACCCCAGCTGTGTGCGCCGACAAACCAGCCACCAATCACTGCAACGCAACACAGCTGGGGCGCAGAGCCACAAAAACGGAGAAAATAAAAAGACAAAAAGGAGGAGAGGCAGCGGCCGCCGAGCGGCCCTGACATGCTGATTTATTCAATGAACACAGGTAAAAATTAACATTACACGCTCAGGTATCTTGCACCTCCAACATGCACGCAGATGAAAGACCCCTGAACCCAACAGGCCTAATACATTTATCACTTAGGTTGGGCTGGCCCCATACTAACAGGAACGCCAAACCGTGACGTGTCCCGGTGCCAGCTTTGCAGCTGACCATGGCAATAGTCAAAACATGAAGAAAATCAATGTGTCTGTCTGTTGATTGTGGTGTGTAGCTAAAAACATTCTAACACGACCTCTAGTGACATGTCATGACATTAAACATAAGAAAATATTATGGCTATGGCTACAGTTATACACGTCATAATAATAATAGTAAACATCCTGTCTGCTGACAGTCACACTTTTCTATCTAGTTATCCTTGACCATAAGCATCCTGCAGCATTCATGAGAATGCCTAACTAGACATCCTGTCTACTCTAAACATTTCTAATCCAACAAGTATCTGACCAATATCTATCTGACTAAAAATACCTAACAGTAAAATGATGCAAGTGGGAATGAATGAAAACTGGTGCAGGAAAGGTGTGCCATATTTTCTCTTTCTGCCCTTTACCCATATCAAATCTGTATTTATGAAACAGCCCTTGTCCTAGCAGTGACTCAAGGTATTTGGCAGGTACTGTCATGGATGAGGATAGGCCTGCCTACCAAGCACAGGACCAGGGGTCCAAAAAGTCAGGGGGCCCCTATAGGACAAAGAGTGAAGGGACTCTTAACCTTTCCATTGGAAAGTTAATCATATGACTACAAAAAGCCAAAAAATGAGAACATTTTGATGCAAAACAACCACAAAAAGAAACTGATTACAAATCATATGATTGCTCAACCAGTGAGACTTGCTCCGAGAAATATAAGGTACAGGGCCTTTTACATGTCTGTGCTCAGTGTCCCATTGTTTGGAAAATGAGTTTTTTCATGCTTTTAATCAGTCTCTGTGTCGTCACTCTTCATGTACTTTAAGGACTAGCACTATAATGTTGATTTCAGTTCAGTTGAGTTCAATTCATGTTTAAGACTCACAGCCTTAAATGTAGGAATGAAAATCAAAAGATAGAACGAACTGATCACTGTCAAATAAGAAAATCCAAAGGCCTGACCATGTTTCTACCCACAATGTTTGCCACCTTGCTAATGGATCTGACTGATCAGATCCAGATGAATCCTTTTGCACTCATTCCTGGGGATAAGGACACAGTGAGGGGTTGTGCGATAGACCTCACCGCAAGCAGTGACACCAACGGAGGTGGAAACAGAAACAAGGCATTAGTTGTGTGGATGCTGTAAAGCATACACACTATGCTCTCCCGTTCTTTATTTATTGCGTGGATGCTGTAAAGCATACACACTATGTTATCCAGTTATTTCTTATTATTATTATTATTATGGTTTCTTCCATCTGTTTTTTGGCACATTATAACTCCACCATACTTTCAGCTAAAAAAGCCATCCAGCTATTGTTAGAAAATACCCAATTCTTTTGTTGGAAGCACGAGAAGTGAAGACAAGAGAGGACTGTTTAAAATCAACAGAAAGTTTACTGAAAGTCTGATCACAGGTTGAGTCTTACAGCGCTGGATTCAGAGAGACAGAGCTCCTGCAGGAATACCGGCTTCTGAATCCTGAATTAAGTTTTCACAACACATTTATCTTCTTGGGCTGCTCCGCCCTGGCCAGGGGTGCAACCTTCAATAGTTTGTGATCCTATTGGCCATTTGGTGTGAGCCAGAGCTTGCACTTCCATGTTGGAATATGGTAAATCTAGATGTGTGTGTGTGTGTGTGTGTGTGTGTGTGTGTGTGTGTGTGTGTGTGTGTGTGTGT